GCTTCACTCGGTCACTGTGACGAAGACGTGGGACCCGAAGCTTGATTTTGTGCAGAACCTGCTTGACGTGCTGAAGCTCCGCGGCCAGGTGCTTGTTCTCACAGATCCCATATGCTCTCTGTAACAAAGATTTGCTCATGGTAACTAACTGTGAAGGATTATGGTGAGATTCACCGCTTAAATATCAGTTTGTATGGGTCTTTTTTCTATACACAGTGTGACCTATGATGTTGTTAGGATTTTGGATAACAAAAACATCTAGGAAAGCTAAGAAATTATTTGCCTCAGATATAATATCATAATTACTGAATAGAATTTGGCACAGAGAGTGGTAACGATGGATAAAATTCATAGGAACAACATCCTGATTTAATATTTCTTGGACCATATTCATGAGCCGCTCTAATTTGTTTCTTGGTACTTGCAATAATGCCTATATGCATTCATCACTATCTCCTGTTCTTACTTTCATCAAATATACAGCAAGTGCAAAGCATCCACTATGTTTACTTGACATTTTGGGCACTTCAGATAGAATTTATTGGCATTGTGCCTTTGATAAGCGTAGATAATAATGTACAGTATATTCGGGCATATTGTAAATATTTTCAAAGTCTATATGATGGTAAATATTATCTTACAATAATGTAGAAAAATCTATAATTTGTGCTACACTAAATGTTTTAATATGGTTATATATTAATTCTAAAAGTAAATACCAAGAGTTACTATTTAAATGGTAGTTACTGATTCTACATTCTGGAGGTACATAGTAATTGTATTCACAAAAATACATACCCGCAATGCTGATGGAACAGTGAGTTGATTGGAATTGTTACAACCAGGAAAAAACATTGATTTTGTGTGAGTGGTGCTCTTACAAAATTAGGCAGCAGTATATTGTATGATGTATGATCTAAGCTTTGTTGTTCTAGGTTCAATACATTACTCACTTTAGATTGCTACAAGGATGGACTAGATGATTCAGATGGTTCCCGTTCTAAAGTTTAACGTGTTGCTGCTTTATCAATTCTTCGCAATCATGACACTCACGCGATGACGATGGCAACTGAAATAATATTAAATAAAAAAAAATAAGACAAAGTGAACAAAATAAAATAGATTTGTTTACTTTAAACTCAAATATAGGTAAATGTTACTTAAAACTTAATGCCCTATATTATTTAATAATTAAGGACTGACTGCCTACCAGTAGTCCAAAAACAATTAAAAATCGACTGTCTTATTTCTTGGTATTTGATAAAAATTGTCCATTTCGTAACTATCTGGTGTTAGCTAGCTAATCTTATCGCCGTGTTACAAATAAGCTATTTTGTTTGTCAGGTATAGCTTGTGCATATATTAAAAAATAAAACAACTTCATCATTTCATACATTCATCACTATCAAATATCAGCACTAGAATTAATAAATTAAAAACTGTTGAAAACTTACTTTTAACTGTTGTCACACTATAATGTGATCGACAATCTCACTCCATATGAGTTCTTGAGAATTTATTTGAAAAATAACAAACAAAATAACACAATGGCAACTATTTAGTTGTGAATTCACTAGTACCTTTTTACTTGTTGAATTGTGATTTCATTTCGCATGACATATTTCCTATAGCTGTCAGATTTGATGTTGCCACATAACTAACATAAATACAACGAAACTATATCGATTTGTATTCGATTAGTAATTTAATGAAAAAATAATAATATTTGAGTTTCGCTTTCAGTTCTACACGCTTTTTTAAAATATATTTTCTTTTATTTTTTTTAATTATGTTTTAAACGTATTTTTAAGAACAGTTAAAATGTGGAGTAGCGTATTGTTATGCTCTAAACAGTTCATGGTAAATCAGCTAAAAATTCACTTGTTTAATTATCATAACATGATTCCATTTTAAATGTATTGTTAAAACAGATAACAATAACAGTTAAATTGTGCAGTAGCATTTTATTGTACTCTAAAGAATTCATAGTAAATCAGCTAGTAATTCGCTTGTTTAATTATCATAACATCATAATATCCATAGCGATTCGATTATTATTCGATTAATAATTTCATAAAAAGAGAATAATCTTGGAGGTGTTTTAACTTCTGCTCGCTTTTTAAAATGTATCTTCCTTTTTTATTTAAATTCTATTTTAAGTGTATTTTTAAGAACAGTTAATTGTGCAGTAGTGTTTTATGAAGCTCTAAAAAATTCATGGTATATCAGCTAGAAATTCACTTGTTTAATTATCGTAACATGATTTCATTTTAAATGTATTGTTAAGAAAAGATAAGAATAACAGTTATATTGTGCAGTAGCGTTATGTTATACTGCATAGAATTCATTGTAAATCAGCTATTAAATCGCTTATTTAATTATCATAACTACAGATGTGAAGGCGGTTGTTAACGTTTTCAACCAAGCCGATAACAACGGTTGTTTTTGTCTTGAAATTGATAAAAATTGTGCAGTTGCGTTTTGTTAAGCTTTAACCTTTTGAGCGCCACGCCAAAAACGCATTACCGTGTCCTGTACGCCAAAGCGCCAAAACAAAATAGTGTTGCCAAGAGTTGATATATCGATAACGTGAAATAACTTGTTTTTGTTGGTTTTTTATGCTATAAATGACTCTTAATAAACTGTATGTTTTATTTAATCTTGTGCCGTCTTCCACTCTTTTTATATATGTACTTTGTTCATATAAACATAAATAAAAAACAAACAATAACAATAAAATAGTAGTAAAGATTAGCACTACTCTCCATCCTAATGACGACACTGTCGCGACTGGACGACAATGGCGTAGCTGACCTTCCCGTTTGAAACATTCTTAGAATGTTGTGTATCGATTTCAAAATCGATCTAACCGAAATATACAGACATCGATTCATAATATTTTATGTGTCGGGGAAGGCGTAGGCCAAGTGACGCACAGAAGAAAAGTCTTACACTCTTATGACAATGGGGATTTGATATGATGCTGATGCTGCTAGATGATTTTGAGACTGAGAAAGAATATGGCACAACACAAAATGAAAAATTGCTCTTCACACCCTAAGTAAAAAAAACATTAATTGTAATTTTGTATTATTATTAAAAAAGGTACATAATTATTCATTAATCAACAATTGTATATAATTATTCGCACTAGGTAAATCAGCCTTATAATACTAAAATCTTGGTCATGGAATAAATAAACATATTTGTTCACCAATCAATCAAAAATTCAATTCATCAATCAAAAATCAAAATTCATCATCATCGACGCTTTCCAAAATCCGAATGAGTTCTGAGGAATCGTTCATGTTGCATTGCTCTACTTTTCTCGGTAATCACTTATGACGTCATCAGGGTGTCGTCTATCCTTGATCACGGTGCCCAGTGAACTGATTTTCGATGACGCGCTAAAGATGCGCTAGAGTTGAGATATTAGATTTATAATGCGAAGATAATCTGATAACATTTTTTTATTCATGTAGCTAATTATAGTTTTATGTTTATAACCTTCAATTTTATTCAAATATCAATAATAATAGAAAAAAAACACCATTGAGCTGAATTTTGGATAGTTTTCAAGAAATCTATGCCTCCCGCGTTTGACACTAGCGGTCAACCATAGACGACTTTGGCGTGCTGGACATAGTATTTGCTTAGATAAAAATCCATTTTTATTAGTTCAATGTTTCTTAGTACTTGTGGCTCTAGAAGACTTGTTTTTTATACTCACATGTTGCTGGGTTATTCCTATTTTGAGGAGTGTAGAATTAAAATACCTGTAATAATTTTCCAATATCTATATTTCATATTTTTCGGAGCCGGGTTTTTTGTCAACTATAGACGTCGTTGGCGCTCAGGGCTCGCAGGTGTTGGTCAAGTATAGGCGACTTTGGCGCTCAAAAGGTTAAAGGATTCATGGTAAATCAGCTGGAAACTAACTTGTTTCGTTATCATAACATGATTCTATTTTAATTGTGTTGTTATAAAGAGATAAGAATAACTTAACCGATCTTCTTTAAAAACAGATAAGAATAACAGTTCTTATCTGTTTTCAAAGAAGATCGGTTAAGATTAACAGTTAAATTGTGCCGTAGCATTTGTTACTCTCTAAAGAATTCATTAGAAATCAGCTAGTAATTCGCTTGTTTAATTATCGTAACATCATAATTATTTAAAAATTATATTAGCACTGTAATGATGACACCGTAAATAATCAATCGAAAAAGAGAATCGATTTTTTAAATGTGTTTTGTGATTGGCAACACTTTTTTTTTATTCACAAACTAATGACATAATGATTTACCTAATTTTTATTATTATGTTTCCGGTACTTTTAATTTGTGCAAAAATATTCCCATTGTTTGAGGATAAATGAATACCGCGATTAATAACCATAAATAAAGATATAATTTTTTAACAAATTCACATTGTTGGGCGTTCCATGGCCGAAAATGGGCGTCCCCCTTTATACCATCTTTTTCTCTTACAAAATTATGTAAGACTGTACAAGCTTTAATTACTTTAATTGCTGTGTCTACGTTCAGATCTATAGCTCGATGGATTATTCGCCACTTATTTGCCAGAATACCAAAAGTGCACTCAACATACCTTCTTGCTCGACTTAGTCTATAGTTAAAAATGTTTTTATCAGTATTCAAATGTGTACCTCCATATAGACGTAGGAGATTAGGTGTTAAAGCAAAGCCTTCATCGCCAACAAGTATAAACGGTAATTCTTCGTGCAAGTTTTCATGAAGCGGTCTAGGCGTTGGTACATTTAAAGTATTTGGTACATTTAAAGCATTGATCTTTTGCCAAAATGTACTATCCTTTAATATAGTAGAATCACATTCCTTGCCATATGAGCCCACACTAATAAAAATATATCGGTACTCTGAATCGACAACTGCCATTAATACAAAAGAATAATACTCCTTGTAATTAAAGAACATAGAACCACTCTTGGCTGGTTTCAAAATTCTGATATGTTTGCCATCTACTGCTCCAAGACAGTGAGGATAGTTGGCTTTTCTTTCGAATCCTGAAGCAATATCCTCCCATTCTCTCTCAGTATCAGGCAGCTTAAGGAAATCTGTCTTTAGGTTTTCCCAAATGACGTGGGTCATTTCTTTTATCAGTTTACTTATTGTCGAAACGCCTACTCTGTATGAGTAATGTATTTCTTTGAAAGAACATCCTGAAGCTAAATATCTGAAAAAAGTATTTTTTGTTAATACATTATTACTTTATACGTCACCAAGAAACAAATTGTATTGTTTTATGATATTTTTTTATTGATTTCAAGAAAACGGGTTCCAACTAAATGGAATAATATACGAGATTCGTGGCTTAAGACAGTAAAGAAACAAAAAGATGAGCCTAAATCTGGATCTTCGGCCAAAAAGACACGAAATTATTTATATCACAAGCAATTAATGTTTTTGAAAAAAGGCTCCGAACCGCGACCACCACATGAGTCAGTTTCAAAAAAAAGCAAGAACCGAGACTGAAGTAGGCATGGAATCAGATTTTCGTTCACCTTTAATTATAGATAAAAGAAAAATTGATAATAAAGAGGTAAATGACAGGATAGTAAAGTTTTTGGACTCCAGAATAAACCCAGAAAAGGAAAACCATCATCTGTCTTTCTTCAAAGGCATTATACCAATCTTGAACACTTTAAGTACCGAAGAGACTTTAGAATTTCAAGCTAGCGTCATGACAATGTTGCAAAAAATTAAAAGTAGGAATTATGAGACCAAATTACGGACATTGGCGTGATTCATATAACCAGATCAGTATTCTGGATACTACACACATAATAGCGTCAATCAACAGGCAACACCTACGCAAGATCAACACCACCCTGGATACTCTACGCAATATAATAGTAGCAATCAACAGGCAACAACATCTATACCATCAACTTCATCTCAAACATCGAATCCGATTCCAGCTTCGCCATCAGCATCTAGTAATCATTCCATACATTCCCAAGACTCAGATTACTTAGATTTTGAAGGAATTTAAGTTTGAGTACAAATAAATACTTAAATAAGTTATTTGCATTTTTAATTCATAATGATTATCAAATACATATACCCTCCCACACACACACATTATATATATTCACATTCATCAAACAAACATACATAGCAAACATTCATTCATTCATTCAGTCTTAAGTAGGTACCTACGTCAAAACTATTATTACGCAATCTAGTGCATAAAATAATCTTACCTTAGACATATGGCTAATCTTTGTTCTGGGCAAATACATTCTCTGAAACTTGTATCTCGTACTCTCATGTCTAGTCGTCCCAGTAAATCGTCAAAAGCGGTTGCTGTCATTCGAAAATAATTGAAGAACTTTGATTCGTCTCTTCTAAGTTCACCCATTAATGTTTCAAATGTTCCGAATGAAAATCTTTCCCGTAAAATAGAGTGTACCCAATGTTTTCTTTTATTTTGCCTTCTATTAAGATACCACCACAACACAACAATTTCGTCGTCCATTGCGCGCGCAGGTCCAAATTCAACTGAGGTGTACTTGACTGTCTGAATTTCTTCCGGGATCCGATGTAATGTGAACACTCTGTCCGGTGTCCGGTTTCGGCCAGATCTGCCGGTCCGGCGTAGTGGGAACCGGACTTTACTCAGGATAAAATTAAAAAAGCTCTGTTAGTCATTCAATCCAAGGCTGTGCGTTATGATGGAATTAGTAAGCAAATGGTGTCTATGATTCTTGAGTACCTTCTTCCAGCTATAACACACATTACAATACCCTACTGCATGGAAAAAAGCTTTTGTAAGACCTTCCTAAAATACCTAATCCTGTTTTACCTAACCATTTTCGTCCTATTTCAATTCTCCCATACCTCTCTAAAGTTCTGGAAGCCTGTGCTTTTAAGCAAATATCTGTATTCGCTGCAAAACATAACCTGCTGAATGAATTTCAATCGGGGTTTCGCTCTGGTCACAGTACTACCACTTCGCTTATCAAAGTCACAGACGATATAAGAAAGTGCTTAGATGAGCAAAAATTAACAGTGGTGGTGCTTATTGACTTTTCAAACGCTTTCAACACAGTGGATCATGGTATCCTCCTATCCATCCTTAAACACCTTAAATTTTCATCCCCAGCCTTGGAATGGTTTTCTTCTTATATTCGCGGTCGCCAGCAATCGGTTCGCTCAGGTCAGCGGTTTTCTGCATGGGCTGAAATTGAATCTGGTGTGCCGCAAGGCGGAATACTTTCTCCTATTATGTTTTCCTTATTTATAAATTCTATCTCCTCAGTTTTAGATTGTTCGTACCATCTGTATGCGGATGATCTCCAGCTCTATGTACAGTCAAGCTTAAACAATCTTAACTTTGTAATACACAAATTAAATGATAACCTGGAAGCCATAAGAGAATGGTCATGTAAATATGGCGTTTCTGTTAATCTGCCAAATTCAAAGTTATAATATTCGGAAGTTCGCAATTATTTGCTAAGGTTGATTATGGAAATCTCTCTCCTGTAATTTATAATGGAAGTTTGATTTCATATTGTGATTCCATAAAAAATCTTAACCTGTACATGGATAAAACTATGACCTGGAAATTGCAGATCTCTGAAGTTAGTCGTAAAGTTGTTGCTACCTTGCGTTCCCTTTATCGTCTTAAAAATTTCCTACCTTTCAAAACCAAGCTTACGCTGGTTCATTCCCTTATTCTACCTATTATCGACTATACCGATGTATGTTACCCAGATCTGTCCGAAAATCTTCTAAACAAGTTGGAGCGCCTTCTTAATAATTCCATAAGGTTTATTTTTGGTTTACGTAAGTATGACCACATATCATTCTATCGTTCAAAGCTTAAATGGCTACCTATACGTCAAAGGCGATGCTCTAGAATTTTACTTGTACTTTATTCAATTTTAAACGATCCAAGGTCGCCTTCTTATCTTAAGGATAATTTTCATTTTTTTCATCCGATCGACGGTCGAACATCCCGACAGTCAAACCGTCTGAGGTTAAGGTTTCCACAGCTTAAGTCAAATTTTTTTAGATCGTCTTTTACGATACAAGCTATACAACTTTGGAACACCCTCCCCAACGATATTAAGAATGCCATAAATAAAAAAGTTTTCAAAGTTCTTCTCCGAGAACATTACCTGAAGGAAACTACTAATTAACATTATTTTTCCTTAATTTTTGTCTTTCCCATTCAAATATTTATTTCATTATATATTATTCAAACATTATATATATATATATATATATATTATTTATATATGTATGTATGTATGTAATTTGCATATATGTATATTTAATGTATAAGCACTTATTCGCACCTGCCAACAATTGTCCTTGGCACCCAGGGTTGACTGGCAGAGAATGCTACATGGCATTAAGTCCGCCCTATGTACCCTTTAGCTTAAGGTATTACGTGTAAGTTTTTAAATAAATAAATAATTGATCAATTCTATAATGACGTCATTTCTTGTGATAAAGGCCTACCTCTATATCCTTAGCCAATGAGCAATGGCAGGATCCAGCAGTACATAGCATTTCCGACCTGGAGACCGTATGGAAGGAGAAGGAGCTTCACGGGATGTACTACACCTAGTGGAAGCCGAATCAGATAAGAAAACAAAATATCTGGGCCCGGCTCACAAGGTGACCGACATGTGGGGTAACTAATATTTCCGCAATGTAATCACATACAAAAGATGTTAAGTATCTTATTTAATGTGATTAAAGTTTAATTTATAGAATAAAAAAATAAAACCTCGTGATGTAGATTACTAAATTTTAAGTCAAAAAACGACACCGTGCCTTTAGATCAAAGTTAGGAGTCCTGTGTGACTAATGGGAGTTCCACAAAATCAACCGAATGACTTAAACATCGCGTTAACCGAGTTAACGTCGTCAGTATAGACAAACGAAGACGAGCGAGTGCGAGTTACAATCGAAGCTAACCTTTCGATTCGCGTTTGCTCACCGTGAATGGCGTTCGTTCCTTTATGTTTGTAGCGCTTTCGCATCGTGAGATAAACGAATCAAATTTAGGATGACATATTTACTTAGTGTTCTTAATATTAGTAGCTGTCTGTCAAAGTTGTGGTTATTATAGCATCTTTGATGTTTATAATACTTTGTGTATAATAGTTTGTGTTTGTTTAAGTGAAGTTGCAATTGTTTCTTGAAAATAATAAATTATAAGTAAAAAACATGAAGACTAGTTCTTCCCAATCCGATTTGATGGTGATATTTATGGAGCAGTTAGTTGAATTTAATTTATTTAGTGCTTAGGAAACATACGTTGTGTATTTTGTACCTAGATTTCATGGACTGTAATTTATTGGTTCTAGGCACGGAGATCTCAGCAAACTATCTTCTAATGCAAGAGGTAGGTAGGCTTGTATAAAAAACTGGAAGGAATTAGCTCAATTATTGAATAGTGATGGTAGTGGTGATACAAAAAGTAGTGACAAATGGAAGAAGGTACGTCTAAATGGTTATTTATTTCATACATATTTTGGTTAGAGCTGGGTTGTGGTTCTTTAATTTTATGAAAAAATGTCTTCTCTGCTCGCTTTAAAGTTTGGAGTGATTATAAAAATAACTCTAAAAAAAGGCTGTTCGTTTGCATAAAGTAGCTAGAGATACTGGTGGTGGGCCTGTTATATATAAGAGTTCTTTTTTATTTTATTTTTATTTCTTTATTTGCTTAAAACATGGTGTTTGTAGGTGGTACAGTAAAATAAGTTCACATGTTTTGCTTATAATTAGCATGCAAATTTAAGTTTATGTTCAGGTAACATTTATTTCAAAAGGGTCAAATATATTCATTAAAATCAATGTCAACAAATCAATAATTAGTAAAGCCTTATAATGTCAATAAATTCAATAAGCCACTTATAGAGTCTCGATCAGAATAAATTCATTTTGAGGTTTTTGTTGTCATTGGGGATCTTATTATACACCTTAACACATATTGCTAAACAACTTTTTCTGAATTTAGCAGACCTTGGAATGACGCTTAACACTAATCGCTACGGATTTCTTTTCCATCGAGAGTTTATACATCTGGCCTTCTGAAAGAGCTCAGTATGGCGTTTTACAAAGCAACTCATTTCAAAGATGTATAGTGCTGGCAAAGGAAGTAAGCCGCTCTACAGGACTCGCCGGTGGAATCCCACATATAGCTCTAATGCATTTTTCTACGCTAAAAATACCCTTTGTCTCTCAGTACTATCTAAATCTGATTGGTCTAGAAGTAGCTACAGGTTTGGCAGTTGAAGAGGCTGTGTTGTCAGAGGTTACAACTTTTTTTTACTTAAATTAAGCGACTTTCTAGTGGGTTATATATCTAATAAATTGTGGTTTTTTTCAGGGGATTAATGTTCAGGGTAATTCCATAGTGAATCTTGAACAAGGCATACCGACTCCACAACCACATTACTTAGTAGAATGTAAGTTGCAGTAGTAGGATATCAGCATATTATTAACAGTGCATAATAATTTTTATTTTATTCAAGGTCCTTCACAGCCTGGTCAGGAAAATATTGCCACATTACTGCCACCATCGCTTCCGAGAGCAATATCTTCACCATCTCTTGCCTTTGCAGAGGAAGAAAATCAAAGTAATATAGATCTTACTTATTAGACAGTATAAAAACTTCAGACTAGTACTGAGTTTGTTCCGGGTATTAAACTCAGAAATTCTTGCTTGGCAGCAGCACTTGCAAACCAATAAATTAAAAGTAATAAAATATACATGAGCCATTCAATTACCTTCAATGGGTTAAATATTAATAAATCTCACTTTTATATAAAGATTACTTAACGTTATAAATTTATAATAGGGTGGAGCGCACTTGCATGGGATATTTTTTTGTGTAATATTGAAGTGGCGGATGTCGCAAAAGGTGTTCTGACACTAACATAACCCTCTCGTATAATATCATTTATACAAAATATATTTAGAAGTACTGCCGCATAGCTCGCAGTTCCCGAAATGTGCGAAAAAAAGGTATATTTTCTTGATATGTAAAATGGTTTTAAATAAATTTTTTTTCTTAAAAATGCCTTTATTCACATATGAACAAGTACCACTATGATATAAATTACAAAAAAGTTACACAGTGTACCTATGGCGTAATATTTTTGATCTACCAATCGCGCATTGTTTTATCATATAAGGTCATTGGCCGAGCGTTTCGCCGCCCGGAGTCTGCGGGGAGAGGCGAGTGCGGGACGCGGGTTAATTGTGTCGCATCGTTCTCTGCTCAATTAGTCATTTAGCTAGATTTGACATGAGACAACGTAAAAAGTAGTATAATGAGTTTAAGAAGTAATTATTCGTCGCCTATCTTCGGTATTGGTTGTGAATTACCCAAAAACGTGCTGCCAACCTAGTGATGTGATGAAATATGTCTTTGGATCAGTGGCACGATGTGCGGAAAAGGGACGACAAGATTTATTCAGGCCACTTGTGATATTTTTGCGACCGAAATCGAAAACATCTGCAAACGAGCCTCTTTACCAATAGTACAACTAAAACAATAGTATCAAAAATAAGATCCTATCATGACAAACATCGCGCCCTTCTGAAATCCTACCTAAAGAGTAAAGACAACTAAAATTATAAACAGAAACTACAGAAGATTAAAGAAGACTGTGACGTTTTGCTTGATATTGCATCTTGTAAGTGCAAGTCGTTGTCGATATGTTCTTGTGAGAAAACTCGTAAAATTCCTAAACAAGAACACGAGTTTTTGCTCGATCAACGTGGCGAAAGAAGAATGATGATTGGATCTCTAGATAAAAAGCTACACTTTAGAATATAGCTTTGTCTGATCGGAAGTTAAAAAGAAACACATAACCTTGGTAAAAGAGCCGAACTCGCAATACATCGGGCATATTACACTGGAAACAGCAGATGCACTCACAATTTCAAAAAAACTTAACCTTTATTTAGCGTTGAAGTGTGATTTGAAGCGAATTATAGCAATTGGGTGCGACGGTAAGGCAGTCAACACTGGCAACAAGGCTGGAATCATTTGTCTTCTAAAAAAGAAACTTCATCGCCCTCTTCAATGGCTCGTGTTTCTATTGCATGCCAACAAACTTCCTTTACGACATCTGTTTGAGCATCTTGATGGGAAAACTACAGGAACAAGAAGTTTCACAGGCGTCATTGGTAAAGCGTTGAAGGGTTGTGAGAATCTTCCAGTGGTTCAATTTACACCCATCGCATGTAAACTACCAGATATTTCAAAATCACGTAGTGATCTCAGTACAGATCAGTACCGTCGTACTCCGAATTCGTATAGAGTCAACTATGCGAAAACCAAAACCAAACTGTGGCTATAGTCGTCGGCAGCACGAACGCTTATCTCTTATTCACGTGTACTCGATACCATAATGTAACTATATGTAAACAAACCTTAGAACACAATATTAAAACGAACGAATGAAAATGAATGACACGTTTAGAAATTGCTACTATTGTATTTGTTAAGTCCTTTATTGTACGTAAAAATAAGAAAACATAATGAAACTTATTAATAATCATGTGTTAATTAACGTAAAACACTTATTAAACAAGTTCACTATTTTTGTAATTATTTAAGTAGGATAATTTTTTGTGTTTCTTATTACGTATTTTGAGTTGTGATTTCCGAATGCGGCCATTTTAAGATTAAGTCTAAACACTTGACTCTTGCGGCGCTCTAGTTTTTCATATTGTGCTTCATACTAGTTTGTGACTGCGCTTCGTGTTGTCGTAGAAAGTTTTTGTATTTGTATTTAGTATTTTTGGCTGAATTTCTTTACAATGTCAAGAACTAGCCCCACACAATTTACAATAATGGTAGAGTTCATGGAAAAGTAAGTAACTGATTGATACACAACAACAATAATTATATATTGATGACTGTTTAAGTAATGAATATTATGTTTATTTCTAAGGAATGGTGACTTATCTAAACTTCAAAATTTACCGCACGGGCGACTGTGGTGTATTAGAAAGTGGAAGGAGTTAAGCGATTTGCTTAACAGCCAAGGAATTGGAGAGTTTCAAAGTGAAGAAAAGTGGCGAAAAGTAAGTTCTAGTTTCATTGTTCCTAAACCTTCATTACAAATCAAGAGCGCTTACCTACATAGAGTTTTAAAAGCAAGGCTGATTTTGTGTAGTCAAAATTTTAAGTTAATTATCGTTTTATTTGCTTTGCTAAAGGTGTGGAGTGATTTAAAAAACAACACGAAGAGGAAGTGGGCCAAAATTAATAAAACTGCTCATGGTACTGGTGGTGGGCCTGCCTTAAAAATGTGTCTCACAGATTTGGAGAATAGGGTGTATGGGTGTCGAAGCAGCAACTGGGATGGCCATAGCTGAAGTTGGTTTTAGCACGGTTCGTTAAATTTTTATCATGAAATCAATATCAAACTAAAAAGGCGCTCATATAAAAAGTTACGAACCCCAATTCTGAATTATCTTGCTGACTTTTTTAGAATATATATTCATCATCACTATTCTAGTTTAGCAAACCTTTCATACTTACATAAATAGAACATTATTAGAAATCAAAAACTTTCATTTTACGATTTAATATCATAACATGATGAATTCTTTCACTATGAAAATATGACATACAGAAATTAATTTATATAAATGTAAATAACTAGAATAAGGCTAATAACCTATATTATTTTGAAGGTAGAAGAATCTGAAAAAGTAAACAAAACTGTTTTTATACCTGTGGAGCCAGTAAATACAGAGGATATAATAATTGTACCACCTGAAGTTCCTGCTACTGGTAAGTCTTCAACTACTCATATATATAAAAAATTTAATGACTAATATGAATTATTTGTAATTATTATTTATTTTGATTTTCAAATAACCAGGACCCATGTTGCCACATGTAGCTTTATATAGCATTACATATTTTATACGTGGTAGAGCCATGCTGCAGTTATACCAATTAGTACGAGTAGTATAGTTGTAGCACGAATGGTTCGGCTTGACCGGAGAAAGAGCTTAATGCTGCTGTGTTTTGTATGGTGAGTGTAGAGAACCGGAGATCCTTTTTACTGAAAACGGGACATTCCATCTTAGTCCTCACGGATGACAACGCATCTGCATTTTGATTTGTCATCGAGGATAGATGTCGATGTCTATGGGCCACAGCAACCACTTACCATCAGGTGGATTGTGTGCTCGTTTGTCACCCTATTCTATAAAAAATATGAATTTTTGTAGTATCAGCATGAGTCCTGGTTATTTGTAAATTAAATAAATAATAATCAGTAATAATAACTATTAACATTTTATTAATTTACACTACTATATTATATTATTAATTAATATGTGATAGAGCTACGCTGCAGTTATATTATGGTTGTAGCACGAATAGGTTGGCTCGACCGGGGAAAGACCACACTCACAGAATACCAGCGTAAAATCTGCTGTGTTTCATATGGGCTACAGCATCAACTTACAATCTAGTGGACTGTGTGCTCGTTTGTCACCCTTATTATATAAAAAATCTTTTAACTTACAAATACTTATTTTTAACTATATGAAAAGTAAATAATTGTTAAATAAATGAAGATTTTTTGTAAGAAGTTCAAGTTTTCAATTGGTTTTTTCAGACGATGAGGACTGGAATACTCCTGGCTGCAGCAAGGATCCAGTAGTTATACCTCCAAGCAATCACAGATCCCTCACACCACCCCGATCCCCAACATCTCCACAATCTGCCACACCGCCGAAATCTCCCCCCCCCCCAGTTGCCCCCAGGCAACCCACCCCGCAACCTCCAATTCAGCGCCGCCAATCCAAGAAGAAACAACTTAATTCATTAGAGGAATATTTCTTTTTGTGTGAGGAGAATATAAGAAGTGATAACAGAGAGAGAGAAAAGATGTTTGTAGAGTTAGAACAAGAGAGGATTCGACAGAGAGATATCGAGCTCCATTAGCGTGATAGTGAGCTACAGTTGCAAGCTCAGTGGCTGGAATTTATATGCGGGGAGCATTAGATATTTTACAAAAATATTTGGATAATAGAAAATGAATGAATGAGAGTTTTAATTTAGACTTTTTAATAGAATAATGATGACAAATGAGCACACAGTCCATCTGATGGAAGTGGATCATGTGACCCATAAATAAACTACATTTATTTTAGATTAAAAATCAAAATGCAGCTGAGATGTCTGAGGACGCTTGTGAGCTAATATGGAATGCCTCGTTTCCAGTAAACTCACCATATGCATTAAGCTTCTTGTCAATATACCGTGAGGATCGTAATATAATATAATTTAAGTTTTTAGTTTTAGTTTTTTATGGTAATAAATATTGCATATAAATAAGAATTAATTGTGATTTTTGTAGTATTAATGTACCTATTTAGTAATGTAATGATATATATGTTTATTAAAATATCTCATTGAAATTGTTAATGTATTTTTTATTCAAACTTAATATTAATACCGATAAAAATAAATAACACTTAAAATCTAAAATCGTAATAACAAAACAATTCAAAGCGTTGTTCAAACTAAATAGATATACAACACAACACGGAATCAAATTCAATAGAAATAGACGTTTTTCTGTTCAATACATATAAAGAGTACCTACTTATTGAAAGTCACTTTTATGTTTAATTTACAACTGGTTCGGAAAATACGATGAGTTATAGCGCTGAGGGCCTCGGGTTCAAATCCCGCACGGAACAAGTATGTGAAAAAGTAATTGTCCCGGCTCTGGATGTTTGTCCTTGTGCAATTTATGTTTGTAAAATGCCTCCACGATACTGGAGAAAATCCTAGTGAGGGGTAACGTTTTTTAAAAAGTAAAGAAGTAAAGTAAAAAAATATTAGCAACAAAATCCAAGGTAAATTAAAAAAAATGTTTACAATGAAGTATTATATAATATAATTAACTACACAAATCATATTAGAAATGGCTTGGTAGCGACTACCTCATTCCCAGGGGTAATTAGCATCCATTATTTCCTTAATATTATAATAACTATTTTCATGCTTAATAAATTTTGTGAAGTTGTCAGTGGACAAAATTTGTTAAAAAAATTAATGTAAATTACGAAAAAAGTAATAAATAAATCATTATTATTATTGTTAATATAAAATTCAATTTGGGCATATGCACATATTACATATGTATGAAGAACTACGCTGCAGTAAGTCTATCTACAAGAATTCTTCTCATAGCACGGCCTCTTATTAAATCACTCTAAAGTGGGTTGATTTACGTTTTCAGTCAGATTGTTATCATACAGATCTGCCTCTGGGCAGGTACGCCAAATTGCATAGCTATGTTATGTAGTACACAACAAGATATAATTATTTTGGCGCATTTTTCTGGTTTGTAATGCAGAGTGCGATCCTTGTTTACACATCTCCACCTATTTTTCAATCTTCCAAAGGTATTTTCTATAACCACTCTCGCTTTCCCGTGAAGTAAGGTATAATTGGCTTCAGGGCTTCCCTCTACAGCATCAGGAATGGGTGTCATTAACCATGGCCTTTGTGGATATCCAGAATCACCTGCACCAATTATGAAAATGTATTATTTATATTATAAAAAGGATGATATTCATTATAAAAAGTATTAAAAATAATTATAAAAATTAAATTGGAAAACTAAAAAGGACATTTCGTTAACCTGTAAAAAGCATTTTTTGAAGCTAACATAATAACACAACTTACCAAGTAGCCATAGTTGTTCATTGTTAAGATGTAATTCTTGATTTAATACTGGTTTACTAGGCTATTATCCCAAATAAAAGCATCATGGGTGGCACCTCCATATTTTGCATTCACATTTAAAATGCGGCATTCACTGTCACAAACCTACAAATAATTTTTTTGTTAGTTTTCAAATAATAACATAAAATATCTATGTACTTAATTTAATACTAAGTTCAAAATTCATCACCATAATCATTATCATTACAGCCTATTAATGTCATTGTTATGGCATACCTAGTTGCCCGCAAATGGATTGGCAACCGCAGTTTTTTTCATTTATTAATTATTATAAAAGTGTTGCTACCCATCTCCTTTCCTCTGTTGCCTCTTACGACTAGAGAAACGGAAGATATGGGGTATTGGATATTCCCATATCGCCACTACTCATTAGATTACAAGCTACATGGAGTACCTACAAATTAAACTTACAACTTGTACATTAAGGGAATGAAAATGCTTTCTGCAATAAAATAAGTGTTCAATTTCTTTTTGTGGTGTAAATATGCGGAAATGTGATCCATCTATGCAGCCAATGACACCCCGTATCTTATATGTAGTCAAAAATCTATGAAAAATAATTATTTTTTTAATTTAATTCGACTAGAGAATTTAACAAAGTTAAAAACACAACATTTTAAGTTTTTAAGTACTTTCGCTTAATGACGTCTCTCTCAGCCCTTGAAGTGGGGAACTTGATAAAATTGTTGCATATTATTTGGCTGTTAAGTGCCTCCGTAACTTGAGAAACACATTTGCTAACACTTGTTTGGCCTAAGTGTTTACCCATACCAACTAAACGTTGATAAGAGCCCGTTGCGTAAAATGATAAAGCACAAAGAACCTAAAACATAAATGAAATAAATAATACATTTTAGGTCACAGAATAACTACGACGGGTACATAAACTTTGAGCATTGTTTTATACCTTAAGCTCTAAACTTATTCTTTTACTATCTCTCAAGTTTGTTTTAGAGCGAAGTTCATGACAAAGGTATTTAAATGCATTTTTACTCAATCTATATCTTTTTTTTAAACTCCAATTCAGAAATATCCATAGGGTCTTCAGTTCGTCGAAGAAAAACGCGTTGTGTAACACCACTGGAATTATTTAGATATATTTAATTTAAACTGCTATAAAAATATTACTAATACATTAAATAATTTAAGGGAGTCATATGTACCTTAATTCTCGTCTTTGCTTTCTTGCCTCGACTGCCAAACGCCACGCGAAATAATAAAAAGCCGTGGATCTCATTCTATTTATTCTTAATAAAAACATTTTAAACTAAAATCAACGAAAGACTTAGAGAAACTTAAAAGTAAGACTTCACGATAGCGTTCTCAACGTAAAAATGCCGGTGAGAATGATTTCGTAGTTCTCTACAGTGTATAGACGATAACGTACGTCAAAAAAAGATTCGTGCTGCCGATTTCCATACATTTTGTGTCTTACTATACGTTAAACTATACGAAAGCGATACGTAACGTAGCGCTAGATGTTCGTGTTTCTGAATTTTAGTTCCAAATACGCCCACGGAGCGCTGTTCAAATTCCCATACAAAATTTAACTGAAACTAAACTGTGGCGTAAACTATACGATAGATCAAAATGTTCGTGCTAGGGGTACAGCTTTACTTGTATGAAATATGTGACGCAGTTAGCAGAGGACAATGTGACGTAAGTTTAGCCAAGCGAAACCCCGGAAAGATTGTTCATTCACGGTGCCTGACAACAGCTAACAGGATACTTCGACTATATGTTTCCACAAGTGAACCTTCACACAATTTGCTTATCATAGCAGACTTCGTCATCCGAGTGTATGCTCCGATGTGGTTTGAAATTAAAACAAAACCATTTTGCGTGTACGGATCGAAACACCTGCACAAAATGATTACATTATCGAGATACCTTCCTGCAAACCTTATGAAAATAGTTGACCCTGTGCTCAACGCAATGGGTACTTCAGCCACAGCGAAAACATTTTGCTTAGTATGCTTGCAGACGATCGCAACTATATCAAAGAATAAGCACTCCGACGCATTGTTAAAATACGAGAGCAGACTTCGGGCTTAGCGCTGATACGAGTGTTTAAATTACCATCATTTAATTTCTCTGCCGCTGAGTATACAGATTTTATTGATTGGAGCTTTGTATCGGAGCCTCCCCTGATCAAACAGATACAAACCAACGTAATTTATAGAGCTATTCGGAATATTGAAATAGTCGAAACGGAGATTCTCCCTACATTTCGCAAAATGCCATTCCACTCACAAGCAACTGAAAGATGCATTAAGCTGGTTACTGAGTCATGTGCTGCTGTGTGTGGACCAGATAAACGTGAAGGATGGATTTAAACAAGTTAAAATCGTGCAATATCATGCAGGTCTTCAACACAAAAAACAGTTCGAAGCCTCAATCGTAGCTCACCAAACGGCGAAAAATTAATAATTTTAGATGTTTTTTTTTATTTTTATTTTAATGGAAAGTACGTTAATTTTTGTATTAAGTGTTAAATTATTTAATAAGACATACGATTTTCTCAATTTTTTGTACCTGTTTAACATTTACCAAAATCCCTATACTTCCAGTCAAAATTCATGTTTGCTGTCCTGACATATCTGATGTATCAGTACAGGGCACCGTTTCCGCAATCCGCCGTATCTAATGTAAAAAAAAAAAAACACTCCACCCTAATTTATAAGCAAACTTGTCTGTCTTTTTGTGTTTTTTGTACACAGCTACTATATTATTTTGTTGAAACTTTAATTTATATTTTTCATATCTTGTAATATCAATTTTGCAACGACCCAGGGCCATCAAGACGTCCTCATGTTGCCCCAGCAAAGACTGTGGTATCTCCGCTTGTTTCATTTGTGGAGTACACAATACTAGTATAATAATAGTTGGCGCTTTTT